TGAACTTGCTGGCTGTGGGGGTGGGAGAGCCCGTGTGCACCCTAGGAAGACGTCTCTTGGCCCATAACCTGCTGTCAGGGAAGCAGGAGTGAGGTGGGGAGAGTGGGATGAGGGCTAGGACATAAAGAGCAGTGGTCAGTGGGGAGTCACTGGGTGCCAAGGGAGCCATGTGGTGCCATTCCTTCCCAGCTCTCAGATAGGGGCTGGAGTTGGGTACTCACTGTGGAGACTGCAGCATCCATTTTTGTACCAGCTTTATTTCGTACCAGGTCTTTCTCAGTGTTTGTTCGGCAGTCTGGAGAGAAGGCAGAGTGGGTGGCAGGTGAGCAAAACTTCTTTCTCTGGGAAAGCCCTCTGCTGACAGATTGAGGCCCAACCCAGCTGCCAGTTTAGTGGCCAGTTTACCTTGGAAGGAAGGCCTGTCCTTGGGCTCATGGCTCCAGCAGCGCTGCAACAACTCCAATAGTCCCTCCAGGCCAGGAGTCTCAGGGCCAGGCTGGGGCAGCTCTGTCAGTGGGGGCCGGTCCTGGCTCTCACACACACCTCGCTGCACCAATGATGTCTGGTTCAGTACTGAGGTGGGGGTGGGGACATGAAGAGAAAGCATTTGGAGTAGGAGGGGCGACCTGCTCCATCATAGAACGGGGCAGGGAGTGTAGTCCAAGGGCAGGGGAGGAGCGGGTAGGACAGTCTGAGCAGGTAAGCAGGAAGTGGAGGGCTTGAGGGCTTTCAGGAGGAGGGCGCCTGGGGTTAAGGATCCAATAGTCTGCTTAAAGTCTTACCCTCAGCTTCTCTTCCTGCAAGCACTGCCCACATTAGGATCCCAAAGCTGCAAGAGACAAAAAGCTGAGGCCTCTCCCAACCTCTGGCATAACTTCTCTTTCATACACCTTCCCCTAGAAGGGCCCAGAGAGGTGTAAAAATTGGGGATGTGTGTTCGGCATGGGTGTCTTACCTGTAGACATCACTGGCCATAGTAGCTTTCTGGTTTACATCAGCCAATAGTTCTGGGGCCAAGTAGGCTGGGGTGCCCCCTGACACCCCAGACCCTGCCCCTGACTGTGAGCCTCCCAGAAATGTGGACAGGCCAAAATCTGCCAGCTGCAAAGGAAGGGAAGGAGGAGGAAGGAG